CGATGTCATAAAATCACTTGGGAATTCCAAATTATTTGCATGCCTGGAAGCGAAATTTGGCACGCACAAAATCTGAGACCCTTAAAACTGGTCCCAAGGTCGATCCGTAACTTCGGAAGCGCGGAATAATCAAGGTCGGAGATTTGCGTCGGGAAATGTTGCATCGTTAAAACTTTATTATGTCTGAACGTCAGCGTTCCTCTCCCGCCGAGTTGAAATTCGTTACGGTGAAGTCATCTTGTAAATAAGCGAATGACTAACGCTAGCAGATTGGCTAGTAAAAACAGACGTTGTTTTTGCTCAACTTCGCACCAAAATAACGATCAATTTTTTATTCTATAAGGTACACATTCAGAGTATAAAATGACAAAAGAGCTTCGGGCGCCATCTTGAAAAAACGTTTTTGGCCGATATCTCGAAAACTATGCAGTTTACGAGTAAAGTTATAAAGATCATTATTATAGAGAACGAAATTTCAAATTCAATAAGTTGATTTCTATTTTTACTGGCCTAAGAGCCGTTGGTTAAATAAATAAATAATCCAGGACATACTTACACGTCACCTAGTTCCAAACTTGCAACGCTTGTAGTATGGACACTATGTTTGTCACACAATACTTTTTCAGTAGGGGGGAACAAACCCACAACCTCTGGCGAAAGAGGCAGGTACACTACCCACTGGACCAATCGGGTTGTCAGAGTACATAGACGCATACAAGTTAAACGTAATTTTCTTTTTTAAATAAATACATATGATACATAAATCAACATCCAGACACTAGAAAACCACCATGTTCATCGCACAATATATTTCCAGCAGTGGGAATAGAACCCATAACAGCTGTCAACAAAAACAGTCGCCCTCGCCTACGCCAGTCATTCTCTTGTTTCTGTCGCGCTGTCCATTCCACAATTTTAATCACGAATTTACTTAAGATCCATGTGAAGTTCGCCAAACGCTCAGCAAAACTGTTGGGGCCATTAGCGTGCATGGTGATTTGTAATTATGTTTCCATGATTGCCCTGATTCCCTCCTGTTCAAAAGAGGCCTTTTAAAACAGTACTACCGCCCCAATGAGCAGTGGGAACCGGCGATTGTTTCGTGAACACCTGCATATTTTCGAAATAATAACAAAAAAATTAGGCTGGTTCGCCAATCACTTTCTACTTTATGTTTCTTTGTCAAAAAATGTTAATAATCTTGTCCCACTGAGTTTCTTTTGTCGATTCTTCTCATGGCGGTTATTTTCATTCATTCAATCATACATATGTACATCTCCAACTATGATACTTCTGCCACATGTGTTTTCTAACTCAGGTTTTTAAACGGTTTTATTTAGCTCGACACGTACGGAATTTGTTTATTTATTTGGGTCAAAATTAGAAATTGAAATTTAAGCACCTTCCCGTTGTCAGATTGATCTGAAATTTGGTACACACATTTAATTTAGATGACAATACAATATTGTAGTTTTCAGTGCACAAAAAAAACAAAATAAAACCGTTTAACATAAAGTTTTTAAACGGTTTTATTTTAGATTGTAAATAATTTATCGCTTGCTGTGTTTGCCGTAAGTAATGGGGCAATTTATTTCTTTATAATTTATTGCAAGAATCACAAACAACTGACAATCAATTTTGTTGTGACATTTACTGAATTGATGAATGGAAAAGGTAGGGTTGGCACATTTCAATTTTCTTGCTAGATTTTTTGGACGTCAAAGCCCTTGGGGACAAACACCTAGACCCGGAATTGTCCGTGGGTCGGACAAATATGGGAATTGGACTCTCTCCAGATTCCAAGTTAAATAACGAAGCTATTTTACGTGTTTTATGTTGAGGTGTTATAAAAGTTACGTGCGTATTTTGAGGCAAATAATATAAACAAAAATATATAAACAAACTATACTGCGCGGCCATATCAGACTGTAAAACTGTCTGAGAAAAAGCAAATTTAAAGAATTACTTGTGGGTTTAACCAACGGCGAACTACGTACTAATTAAAATAATAGTCTATGATATTATGAAATCAAGATAAAAGTCAAGATAAGGGTTCTATTATCGCTCAAAGGTTAAACGTAGCAATTCAGTGAGGAAATGCAGCTGGAATTCTTGGCACCATGCCGCGTGGGCCAGTTTTGTTTGTTAACATAATTCGTTATTTGACAAAATGCATTGAATAAGGTACAAGTATATGAGAATTAAATCAAGTATCTTTTTGGATATTTCATACATAACATTTAGCATTCTTAGCAATACAACAATTTTTTATATTAAAAAGATTATAGATAGAATAAAGACATTTAGATGGTAATCTGTTTTGTCATGTTTTGTTCCTTCTGAAGTTAAAAGTACATTTGGTTTCTCTGAAGAATTTTTTATATAACTTTAGATGCATATGACAAAATTATTATAATATACACGTTGATAACGCGTCGCATATCTGTTATCTCAATCTGTTATCGCTTTGAGATGTTATCGTTTCGACATGAGCAGCGTGGCGGTGCTTATTTGATGAATAAATAAATAAATGCATAAATACCCATATAAGTACAGAGACGAAAAGGCAATAAATATTTTCCTGTTAATAGACCGTGTATTTCTAATAAAGAACTACCACTTGATGTCTCTTATAATCATACTGTGATATTCTTACTGAAGCCGAAAATGTCCATTCGTGTAATATGTACGCGTCAATCTTATTTATAGGTTTTGTGTGCTGTGACGTCATCGGGCATAATTTACATTTCCGTCGCACGCGAGTGTGACGTCACGCGTTCAGCCGAATCCGTTAGTGACGTCAGACCATATCTTGTGGGAACCTCCGGTGTATTTGCTCGATATTTAGGTTTGAGTTATTTTCATTTCCAAGCAATAGTCGTTGTTTTTATGCACGATTTAAGATTTGTCGCGGGATCATCTAAACATTGCCCTTACTGTAAGATAACGTTATCCTTGGTTGTTAGGACGTTTTACATACATAAATTTCACCTTGACATACTTCCAGATACGAAACAATTATCAGATAAATAGTTGTCCCGTATGGGGATCGAATCCACGAACCTAAACGCCGAACCCTCTGCAACTGCGCCACGGAGTCATCACTCCGTGTTAACCACATAACTATTGCACTATCCATCATGACTGTTATTAATAATATAATAGTATGATGTAATGATAATAATTATTCTAATTATCTTTATTTATCACCACAATATACAACGTGTCGTTACCATCGCGACAATAAATGAACACACGTCTAACGGTACTTGCCAATAATCATTAAAAAATATTAACGTTAAACAAAATCCATAATTAAAAAAAATATATTTCAGACAAACTAATTAAGTAAAAAAGAAACAAAATTTGTAACATCCTATACAACTGGCGCCACAGCATCGCATTACAAGCCTCTCTTTCTAACAGTATGTTTTGTCTCTTTTAAATTCATTCAACCCATTCATATGCTTTGTGACCTTTACAAATGAACTTTACGTTACAGTTTTATACGTAAGGGTGTTCTAAAATTCTTTGTTTTGGAAAATTTAATATCTCGGTAAATATTGATGTTAAAAGAATGTAAATGTTTAATACAATTTTAAAAAGTTATTCTCTATATGTGTGTTCATTTATTGTCGCGGTGGTAACGACACGTTGTATATGGCAAATGATGTCTGTATATTCTGTTTTTTTATTATTTTTAACTACGTATAATGGTATGCTGATGCACCATATCAAGCTCTTGATGTATTGTAGGGTCTTCGGGCCTCAATCCTTAATTTTTTTATAGCGAATAGACACAGAAAACAGTAGTAGCGAGAAGAGCTTAATTTAATGATTTCATAGCTCGATGAAGTATCAAATTCAAACGAAATTAATCCAAAACTTTTGTGAGATGAGGTTGGGTATGCTTTTTATTTACAAATCAACAATCTTATTTTACTTAGGATTTTTAAAAGAAATATTACGTAAATAAGGCCAACGAATATAGAGTTTTCTATCTTTAAGTCTGTCCTCTAACTTGTATTATTTAAAAGATTCTTTTAGTATCTAGGGTGTAACCAAAAATATCGATATCACTTGACTTAACTCCATTTCACTGACCCAAAACAAACGATTTCTATGTGTCTATCTCTTTATGTATAAATATATGCCTCTCCATCCAATGTATGTTTATAAACACTTCGTATCGCGGTTACTTGGAATATTTAGCGCTGCGTCTCGTCGCCGTGGCTTATCAGAGTTCAATAGGTGCCTGAATTAATGGCGGAAAGTTCATCCGCAAGAAACCATTCCGACTATAAATCTGATAGGAAAATCCTTTTGGAGTTGGCGGTTTGACTAACGTGAATGACAAACCACCTCCCGCGTCCTCGCAGATTTATTACTAACGCAGAAAAGAAATTAGAAATAACATTTCTCATGCTGGCCGCTGAGAGTATATTCCAAATCTTAAAGCCATCGTAAAATAGCGACAATAGTATACTTATCATAAATCCAGAACAGTCTAGAAACAGTTTAGGATCTATTGGAAATATATGAAGATGTTAATAAACTGGTATAAGTGCTAAAACTTATAGATTTTGCGAAATTCTTTTAACTACAATAAATACTGTCAAAAAATCGATTTAATTTGTTACTTAAAAGCTCTTGAATTTTATTAATGCCCAGGATAATCAAGATCAAACGTTATAATTAAACATTTTGATAGAATAAAAAAAACATGATCATGTTGTTCCATAATAAGGTTATATCTCTTCTTTTTCTTTTTCCCACCCTTATCTCATCAGGACAGGTCGGCACAACATATGAATCATGTTGATAATGGTATTTGCTAGGTTTTTTACGACCGGTCGCCAGCCTGATCTCTAACTTGATTAAGTTTAAGCACCCAGATCAAGAACAATAACAAATGCGGCATCGTCTCGTAACATTTTATGTACATACATATATAAACATCTATGTAGCTATAGGTTAATCAATTAAACTTTTTGTTGCAGCGCTTCAAGTCGAATCGTTTCCAGATTATTTGAACGTCGACGATAACGTATTTTACTATGACGACGAACTGGACTTTTCTGGTGAAAAAAATAAGGAATTGAGCGAGGCGAAGAAGCTAATTTCCAACAAGCAAAATGCGAGTGACGAAGAGAGTGATAGGAAAGTTGTTGAAGAAATTGAAATGTTTAGGAACGACAACGAGGTCGAAGAAAGCCATATAAACGATGAGTCGGCTGGCGCTTTGGGAGATTATCAGTTTGAAGATAATAGATCTGAAGTTGATGAAGATGAAGAAAATGTAAACGGTGAAGTTGATAGTAAAGAACAGGAGTCTGAGGACATTGATCCCGAATTAAGGGTTCTTAATGATTTGGCCAGTGAAATCGAAGATTTAAATAAAATTAAGGAAGCGCTAGACGATAGTAAGACAAGAACTGATGATGAAAGTGAACATAATGTTGATGACTTACAAGGGGAACATTTGAACCCAGTCAAAAAGTTCGAGATAGATACAGACGACATTATCAAAATCGATTCCACTATTAAGGAACTGACAGAAAATGAAGACAAAGTTCAAGGGTCGATGGAATCTTTCAATGAAAATTTTGATGAAAACGATGAAGATTTTTCTGATAACATCAAAGCGAAAAGCACCGAAAATAGTGAAATAGTCAAAGAAACAAAGACCCTAGGCACGGCAAATGAAGAGCTTCCCGAAAATGATAAGGAGATGAAGAGTCAAGAGGAAGATGAAAAATTTTTAATAGGCGAGGATGATATGAAAAGTTTTCAAGAGGCATACGATGATTTAGACAACTGGGATAAGTTGTTCGATAAGTTAGATGAAATAGAAGCTGTTAAGGATAAAGACGAAATCCCCACTTCCGAAGAAAGAGATTTCGACGAAACATTCAAAGCTCTGATGGAAGACTACGACTATTTCTCTCTTAGTGAGCCAGCGACTGGAAACAATGAAAACGATACCAACGTTTCAATCGAAGAACCATTCCCAGATGACACGCGTCCTGATGAACAGGCGAGCCGTAAGGAATCTACAATTGAGTATATTCACGACGCCTTAGAAGCTAGTGACGAAGCCAAGAATCCAGATGCGGAGATGATAAACGAAACGTCACCGTCCCCAACCACTACTCAGTCTGTTGAAGAAGAAAAGGAAATTGATGATGTCGAAGATGATGGAGCCGTCGAGCAGGAGGATAAAGCTGCTGCTAACGCTACGTCTACAACCGTCGATTATGACCATCTATCTGCATCGGAGTACGAACGCATTATGGACGTTTTCGAATCCAAACACAGCGGCGATTTTAACTTTACGTCCGAGGATTTCGATAAACACATCGCCCCTGTTCACATGACTATCAACGATCAGCCCGTTGTCGTCACTTCGCCCAACTATCCAAACAACTATCCGACGAACAACATCGTCGACTGGATATTCCAAGGTGACGGTGAGGGCATCGAGCTGAATATAACCGACTTCGCTGTCAACGGACACCTCGGGGACTATCTTTTGGTGAAACCAGGTGAGTGTTGAATTTTAAATCATCGTAGTCTCGCTAAATTTTGTTGTTACTCATCTGACGTTCGACGAATTGACTGAAAATGCAGTAGAAAACATTGTGTGTACCTGAGGCTTTCTTTCATAATCGCCAATATTGAACGTTTATATATTAATGTCATTTACTGATTTAATTTCGACTATATTCATTGATTGCATTAAAAAAGCTTTGCAACGCATCCGGGAATTAGCTAGTTGATAGTAAATACTGTTAGATGTCAGTTTAGTATCTCGATATTGTGATAATCTACCCTCTGTTGATGGGTTTACTAGTTGTTTTCCTATCATTTTTTTCATGGGTGACTGATACGATTAGTACTATAGCCCTAGGTATATAGAAAGGGCCTGTCGCCTGCCTATCATAACTTTATGAAGTACGATTAAAATGGTACACTGGGTTGGGAGACAGCTGGGATGGGCGCCATGGTCGACCGCTTAAGAAAGCCCTTTGAGAGCGGCCATACGAAATATTTCTGTGTTGCTATAAAACAGTAAAGTGCTCGGAAATATTTCAGCCTACCCTGAAGTGTGTAGAAGGTTGTTTCAGACCCCTGATAGTGGTCGTCCTGTGGGGTTTGAATGGGTAAAAGGCTGCGAGAGAAGGACAGTCGCTTAAAGAGACTTTATGCAGGCGGCGTGGATGCTTCGGGCAATGAAGGCCTGATCTTCTCCTACACTCTGACCACCGAGCGCCGTTACCGGTTCATGGACGTGAACCGGATGTTCGTCCGCTTCGAGGCCCGGCCCGGCATGGCCTTCATGAGGGGCTTCAGCTTCAGTGTCAGGATGCTCAGTGAGTATCAAACCAACTGTACATTATACAGGGTGATTCATACACGACGGACATGTTAAAAGAGCATATGTAGAATTTGATCGTAAATCTGAATCTGGTACGTAGTTGTTACCTCATAATTTTTTTTTTCAAAGATTATTTTTAATTTTTTCTAACATTATGGACACCTTAAAACATTCCTGCCTTACCGTCTCAATACAATAACCTATAGACGAGCACTAAAATCGCTTATCAACAAGGTGATACCACTCATAACGGGATAAACAAACAATGTTTGAATTGATATTTTTCTGGTTATTTCTTGTCAAATAAAATATTAATAATTTTTTTTGAATTATGGAATACTCAATTAACATTATGTCAAATTATGTACTTCGTCTAAAAAAAGGATTTGTCTAATGCGATGAACATATCTCTTCGGATATATTTTTGTCATTGTCTTCTTTCCTTTTTTCTCAATTGTTCTATTTATTATTCACGACATATTTTATTGCTGCCCCGGCTTGCTGTTCAGTAAACGGTGCTTTATTAAATTTGTCGAAAGTTAACAACTATGCAGTGTGAGCATGACTGGAATAGAGCCAGACTTCTTCAGCTGCACTAATGCGCCAACTTTTCCGGGAAAGTAAGTCGGTATCAAAGGAGACCTAAGCTACGATGAAACATTCTTAAAGTCATCCGGTCACTACATTAGATCGTTTTTTCAGGATAATGCCCAATGAGCAGAAAATGTTTGAGCGTTCTTCGTATCCTTGATGTTCTTGGTTTATACTGACAAGAAATATTTCATGACATTATGTGCTAAGGCCACGCAACAGTTTTCGCTGTTGCACGATTGGGCAGGTCCGTCCGGGTAAGTAACACGACTTCATAGAAGACCGGCATAAAGTAGAAGTGTTACACTTCTGCGTTTCGTCTGCTGAGTGAGGTAGCCGGGCCCACTTTATTAAAAGGTGGCAACGCCTTTTCAAACCTACGGGTATCGCAAATGTCCATGGGCAGCGGTTCTTACTTAACATCAGGTGAACCGCCAGCACGTTTGAAACTTTTTCACATATAAAAATCCCAGGAATTTCTTCCCCGTTCACCTTCAGGTGAACCGCTTGTCCATTCGCCGTCCAAGGCCCTGGTCTATCGCTGATCCTCTTCGCAGGGCAGATACAGCACGGGCCCGAACCGGAGCCGACGCCAGAACCCGTGGTCCGGCCCGCCCACTCGGCCATCACGCTCAACCTGGGCGGCACGACCCTGGAGAGCTTCGTCCAGGAGCAGGTGGAGCGGGAGTTCAGGCAGATCGTCGCCGACATGGCGACCATGTACATCAACGCGAACGGCATCGACCCCGGACTGAACTCCACGTAAGTGCTAACGAACTTCCAACCCATTTGAGGGAGAGGCAATATAAAAATTCAATATGGCAAAGAAACAACTACTCAAAATTCAATATAACGTAAGAGCCTCGTGAGATATCATTTCTGTACCCATCTCTCCATAAATGGTACTAAAAATATTGTTGTAGAGACACAGAACAGCATCTTTAGCAAGAAGGGCTAGCCTCCGAGTTAGTGGCGGTGGTCTAGACATACACCTTTTCCATACACCATTATATATATGGAGCCGTGATAGCTCAGTGTCCGGGCGCTCGCCTTTAATTCAATATACTCGAGCAACCTAAGTTCGATCCCCGGTGCCGGCACCAATGAAATTGTTAATTTTAAGTGCTGAATTATCAAGTGCTCAACGGTGAAGGAAAACATCGTGAGGAAATCTGCAAAATATTTCGAAGATATGTGAAGTCCGCCAATCCGCAGTGAGTGGACTACGCCGTGATTCCCCCTGTACAGAAGAGGCCTTTGCCCAGCAGTGGGACATGTATAGGCTGATACTTTACTTTTACCTCGTGAAAAGAATGATTAGCTACAGATAACTAAGGAATATGGTTCGGTTTATACGCCTCGTAACAATAGTAGTCACTATCGTTGTCAGGGTTAAGGAGCTCAGTAAGTATTCGTTCAGGAGATACTAAAACGTACGCAGCAGCCTCTACTGTAAGTACTATTGGAAGTACCACAGCCACGTAGAAGACGGGTATCGAGTAGTACATTTTCGCGTATACTTTCGCGTTCCGTCTGGTGAGTGAGGTAACCTGGGCTCAATCTGTTAATCGTTGATAACGCCTCTGCAACCCGTCAGATGTAGTAGATATCCACGGGCTGCGGTGATTACTTAACATCAGGTGAACGTGCTTATTAGCCAACAATAAACGGTAGATTCTAGATGGTTTCAGAATTTGGGACTTAGTGAAAGGGTTGCACAATGTCCACCATTTACTTCCCACGGTTTCTTCGTCTAATTACTTTCCAACGCCGACTCTTCGCGAATTGTAATTGAAAATAAAACCGCCAAACATGCGTTACGAGCTTCTTATCTAAATACGAAAAGAGGTCGAATAACTTAAGGAAGTAGGTCCTCCGATAAACAATTTCGTACATTCGCAAACTGAATTAACAGTTTGCGAATCATTCTCATTACTTATGTCCAATGCCGTCTTAGGCCATATCGGAATCCAAGGCACTCAAAAATATAAGGCTCTGATGGAAAGTAAAAGAAGATAATGGCTAAAACATTTTTCTGCTACTATCTTATTTTTTAAACGGTTTTATTTAGCTCGACCCGTACGGAATTTGTTTGTTTATTTATTTGGGTCAAAATTAGAAATTGAAATTTAAGCACCTTGCCGTTGTCAGATTGATCTGAAATTTGGTACACACATTTAATTTAGATGACAATACAATATTAACAAAAAAAAATTAACAAAAAAAAAAACATAAAATAAAACCGTTTAACTTAAAAGTTTTTTAAAGTAATTATTTTGTTTATTCTATAAATTTCTGTCGAAATATATCTACTAAAAATGGAGAACAAATTGTATAGTTTAATACGTAGGTCATGCAGGGCCCCGTGACGACAGTTTTGACGGGGCCCTGCATGACACACCCCTGATTAGTTGTTGTTGCTCCGAAAAATTCAAGAACAACTTTTTTAAGAGGTTTTTTTTATGAGAAGGTAATAAGCGAGCTGGCGGTTCACTTGATTTTAAGTGATAACCGTCGCCCGCGGGTTGCAGATTGGAACCTTATAATAAAGTGGGCCCCGGCTACCTTACTGTTAGTATAACACTTCCACTTTACGCCGTTATGCGAAGACTGTTGCATGGCCGCACCAAATATGAATAAATTATTTGTAATCATTAAAACATCGCGGTGCTTGTTAATATTACAAGGTGGCGCACAATAAAATATCTTTCGTTCGCGTTTTATCGAGTGCACTGCTGTTTTAATGCTTATTTACGACCCGACTGAATGATTTAATGCGCATACAATCCTCGGCGATAATTCGAGCGATAAATTTCGGCGCCTTATCGTCAGTCGACGTTTGGAGCAGTTGAAAATAAATACCGCACTGTTGAATGAATTGGCGATGGGCAGAACCCAACAGGTTCAAAAAGAGTTTTTACGGCAAGCGACCGATATTTTTTTTAATAAACAAAGGGGGCCAATGGGCAGGTGGCTGATGGAAAGAGATCACCACGACCCATGTAATGGTATGTAACATGAATGCTTACAAATTGGTTGTCAGCCTTTCAGGAAAGAAAATGCTCTCTTCTTGAAGGTTCCCAGGTCGTAACGGTTCAGTTAGACCGCCGGCGACGGCTAGTTTCACTGAGTGGATATGAAGTTCTTTCTTCTGTAAGAGCCGATAGTATCGGCTACTGAATCACCACTATCGTCAACAGATAGAACATAAGGTTCGCCTATGGTGACGATAAGAGATTTGTGTAGTGAAACAAGATGCCTATCGCGTAGCGGACGTGTCCTATGTATGACCTTTTTGAAAATGTTTGCTCAATCGTGGGACTATCGGTACGGAATCAGAATGTAGCCCGTAGTTCAGAAATCAGGGTCAATTTCCTTCATTAAATCTAACTGCTGTTTAGTTTAGTTGGTTAAAGAGTTTGGGCACGCTACTCGGGAGACGCAGGTTTGAACTCTGCAGCGCTGAATATTTTGCGAGAAAAATGTCACAATCATTTCACTGAGTGCAAACATCAACAGTAATCAAACAGCCTTTATCCTGCTTCGTAAATGGATTACTGCAAAAGGAATGTTTTTAGATTCAATATGTCAACTCCTCAATTTACCTCATACATAAAAACATATCTATATCTGTTATCAAACATATCTTATCTCCATGCTTATATTGCTAGTACATTTTGATAGTCATGCAGGTTTCATTACCTTTATCACATGTTGTATAGTTTGTACATATATGTAGACAAAAGATCAGGGTAATATCTTACAAAACTGTGGTAGGTATACCTTAGGTGTACCCGGTAGGTATACCTTATAAAACTGTGGTATGGCCACGCAACCGCTATTCCTGCACGAATGGGCAGGTCTGTCCAGGGAAGGACCACGACCTCACAGAATACCGACGTGAAGTATAAGTGTTATACCTACTTCTGCGTTTCATCTACAACCCTACGGGTGTTGTAAGTCGTCAGGTCGCTCGCTACTTTCAAACATTAAAAAAAACCTTGTATGCCCGTAAGATGATGTATAGAGGGAATAGTCTACCCAGGTGGCAGGCATGAGGGTGTCTGACATGTCAGCGTATTATCGTGGGCCGTGGCTCGTGAGGGATGCTGTGCTAATTTCTCCCGGAACAGCTTCATTTGGCCAGATTGGGTGTAGGTTGTGTTTTCGAGCTTCCGTATCTCCGGTCAATACGAAAGAGACAGTTTTAATGGGTACCCTTCCCGTTCTGACTCGGGACTGCCGCATATCCATACCGCACCCCTGATCTGGTGGCAGGGGTCTATATGACATTTTAACAATGTTAAAATAAAGAGAGAGTAAAGTCTGCCACGCGACTCCACCTTGGATTGGCCGACTTCACATGTCATTCAATATTACTCATTCATTGTTTGGAAGATGTGCCACTTTCGCGTATTTTCCTTCTGCGTCGAGCACACGGTCAGAGACACGAATAAATTATTACCCATCATTAGTTTCTTTGTCAAGAGTCTTATTCTTTTCATTAATGAACTCGCAAATAATCTTATTTAATGCCAGTTTAACGCTGACTTACGTGTCTGGGTGCGGTACCATAAATTCTATCGAGACTGCCGGATTCGAAGTGTGATTACTCTAAAGTATCAATGGGTCGTTCACTGAGCTAGCAGCGTCTGCAATATAGCGGTAGCCTTGCACGGGCTTAGTTGTTTCCATTTGTGGCAATCCCTAAAAGTCGGTGAGCAAATTGGATCTACTTATATTTACTTGCACATTTTCCTTTTCTTTTTTAACGTTAGATAACAACAACCTTTTATGATGCAGTCGTAAAAAAAATCTGAGAAAACTGTTCGTAATTCTGCGGGAAGGTATCGACCTAATTTTTGTCTCGGGAAACTACCCCATGACCTGAACCTACGTAGAAACATGTAGTTTAGCAACTGTACTTACTAAGTTTCGCTTATACGAATATGGGACGGGATCCTTTTGATCTTATTACATGCTTAGCGGTGAAGGAAATCATCGAGAGGTAACCTGCATATTTTCGAAATATTATAACAAAATATTTTTTTTTTGTTATTATTTTACAATTAACAAACAAAAGTAACCAATCAAAAGTACCGTTGCCTTTGAATTGGGTAGATTGAACAATATTTCCCATTTCAATGTATTACCTATATGTATAACGTGAAATATTGATACGATCAACTTTTATAAATGCTTATGTTGAATGTCTGATTTAAAACAACTTATAGAGAATTTTCGACCCAACATGGCATCAACACCTAGTAAAGTACCTACTCACCTCAATCATTGCATCATCCGTGTTAATAAATAAATAAATATTTTTAGAACATATTTTTACACAACGTTCTCTAGTCCCAAACTAAACAACGCTTTTACTATGGGTACTAGATAATTGATAAACATACTTAAACATACTTTTCTTTTGTAAATAAATTCATATTATACATATATAAACACGCAGACACCAGGAAAACACTATATAACACAATATTTTTCCAGTAGTGGGGATCGAACCGACACCCTCGTAGGAAGCAGGTACACGATCCACTACGCCATTTGGGTCGTCATTGTTTTATATTGTAGAATTGTTAAATTTAAAGGCTGATTAAAGAGTAGTCGGTGTAAATCTCGGAATAATAAAGATTACATATTGAACTGGAATATGAGTCGCGTAGGCACCGGTTGGTGACGACACTCATGACGTATTCAGACCCTGAGGGACGCCGGGTGCCCTAGATCGCGTGGGAGTGACCCTAATATGCCGGTGGGCACTTCAGGCGTGTTTACTATAACCTACATGTCCCCGAATAGAGATCGACCGCGAGGTACAGTCCGCCTAAAAAATTAAGCTGAACACAGACAAAAATAGAATATTTTGGTTAAATAATAACAAACTGGTTTGAGCATGATAATTTCTTGTTTAACGCGATTACACATTATAAAATTAAAGTATATTAACGGATATACCGCATCAATTTTTCACGATTTCCCGACGTTTTGGACCCCTTACAGTGTTCACGGTTACGGGACAGACTGGTTTGAGCCCAGATTATATGCACTGATGGCAGTAAAAGCCCAATGAATCTTCTTTGGAAATCTCACAATATACGAACAGCAAGACAGTCGCCGCGGAATCCATCCGTTAATAATAAACAAAAGACATTACTCAACTTCATATAGTACCAAACCAAGCAAAGCTTGTATTATGGGTAGTTGCTGTAAGTAGCTGATAAACATATTTAAACATTCTTCTTTATATATATAATTCTTCTGTACGTGTGTATGTCACTGAACTCCTCCTAAAAGGATGAAATTCCCAATTTTAATGAAATTCAAGTCGATTCGAGAATGGTAAATGGTGAATCTAAAGATTCACAATTCGGAACATTACAACTTTTTTTTCTTTATAACTCTAAGATAGATAGATTTAAGTCGTGTGTACAGGACGTCTGCCCGATCCGCTAGTAGATAAATAAACTAACAGCCACTAGAAAAACGTAAGCAATATGTTCATAATAGAATATTTTCAAGCAGTGGAGATCATACCTCTGGTATAAGAAACTTTATAGTAGTTTCAAAGATAACTCATTACGACCAGTCGAAAGAATTTCGCCTATAACGTCAGTATAGTTACATAGATTATCTACATCAAAGCATATTTTGCATACAGCGGTAGCGTGAGACATTTATAGCTGTTATCAGAAGGACTTACGATAAGAGCGCGAATAGCAGTTCGGGGAACGTTTGAAGGCGATTCAGTTAAAAGCAGTTATCGCATTGAAAACACTTCAGATATCGCGCGCGTCAGCTGTAGTAATGGCCTTTGCAAGAATAATATAAAATTGTGAAATTTTTAGTAACCCCTCGACGTAAAAACAACTCGATTCATAGCTAAGATCACGTCAGCTTTCGAACAAAAACAATACCGCACTGTAATCGGTCCAAAAATTTTAGAAACATTGTTTATTGATAGTTATTTGTGCCATCAAAGAATATTCATGACAGGGTGGACTAAAAAGAAACATATACGAGCACAGTATGCCAAAACCCACAGGCTTAAACTAGATCGAAACCGTTTGACAGTGTTCAGATGAAATTGTCTGGATTCAGTAATACCCCGAAGCTAAAATAACCACTGAACTATCAAGAAAGCTACAAGACATTTTATCTTTTATATGTGCACTCACATGAAGTGAGAAGTAAGCGACTAAATAAACATTTCAAGACTAAGCCTTGTGAAGCGTACGTGAAATCTGTTTATAGACCGCATCGAGGTTGCCAATTTTGATCTTGCACTAAGGTGTATCTAATTGCGTCTCATAGTTAGGATTGCTTCAATAATATAGTATTTCCACTAGCCAGCCTTACATTCCTATCCTAGATTTCAAGTATTGTAATTATTCAAGTCTCATAAAGTTAAATAAAAATTTTACAGAATTTCCATTTACACAGTTTAATTCGTTGATAGAGAATCCGTCGACGTGTATCGCGCAAGCGTATGGGAATCATTACAAGAAATTTATTACTCACAATGTAATGATTCAAGTCGATTAATTTAAAGACACGTGAATTGGAACAGGACGGAACGAAACAACACTTCTGCCCTGAAACACATCGATTCCCAAAGGAATGTGCTACGCGTTCAGCCCTCCCGGTCCCAAACGAATCGCGCATGCGCGAGACAGCACGCATGCGCCGACCGAAACGTCAAATCTATTTCCGTGGGACGCTCTCAGTTGTTGGGCGCCTCGCGAGCGACCGCCACGCCAGAATTGGAACCAGGGAAAACACCAAACATGCGGTCGAGAGACGTGTGACGTGGACTCCCGCGGAAGGAGGCAGCGATGCCAGCACGCGTTCTACCCTGACGTGACGGAACAACGAGAAGCATGGAGCCACTATTGGACAGGAACAACTTCGCCATCAGCGCGATGGTGACCGTCGCCATGCAGATACTGTTCTTCACCGTCGCCTCGCTGTCGCAGAGCGATAAGCTGACTGACTTTACTGGCGGCGCGAACTTCATCATCATCGCGCTGCTTACGTTCTTCCTCGGCCAGGGCGGCAGCCATTTAAAGAGCTACGACAGCAGGCAATTGATGGTGACGGCCTTCGTGTGCGTGTGGGGCGCCCGGCTGTCCATATACCTCATCTACAGGATATACCACATAGGCAGGGACAAGCAGTTCGAAGACAGAAAGAGCAACACGCTACGTTTCGCCGTGTTCTACACCTTTCAGGCAGTTTGGGTGTACGCGGTCAGCCTGCCGGTTATAATAATGAACTCGCCCCATCACTCATTCCCTAAAGCGCCGAAGACTATGACCACGTTAGACTCGGCAGGCGCCGGGATTTTCGTCATCGGCCTTCTGATAGAAACCTACGCGGACCTGCAGAAGTTCGCGTTCAGACAGGAGCCCGCCAACCAGGGCCGCTGGTGCAACGACGGCCTATGGCGTCTCTCCAGACACCCGAACTACTTCGGCGAAGTGGTCCTCTGGTGGGGCATCTTCATCATATCCCTGAACGTGATCGAGGGCGTGGAGTACGTGGCCATACTATCTCCACTGTTCACCACGGCGATAATACTGTTCCTCTCGGGAATACCGCTGCTAGAACGCTCCGCGGACGAGAAGTACAGGGACAACCCCGACTACCTCTACTACAAGGCGTCCACCTCGCCGCTGATACCCATACCGCCCGCCATCTACGTGGAGGTGCCGCGGTTCCTCAAGTTCGTGCTCTGCTGCGAGTATCCCATGTACGACTCCACGGGCGACGAGTTCCCGGCGCCGACGATAGTCACCGAGACCACCAGCGTGTCGATGGTGCAGTCGCAGACATAGCTAACGGGCGCCGACCGCGAGGAAGCGGCGGCAAAACGCGAAGCCACGCCATCGCAGGGCGGCCAGAAACAGTTGTGATATACGGCCGAGGGGAGGCAGAAACGGCTGCCTGACTCTCTGCCCCTGAAGCAGAGCAATTCTGTAGATATGAATAGATACAACGCTTACATGGAGAACATTAGGAGGAGCAAACAGATAGCGCTAGATTTGATAGAGGACACCAAGGATGCCATAGAGGGCGGCGCGCTGAGCCCCGTCGCGAGCCAAGTGCGGTCGAGGGCAGCACAAACTGACCAGCTTGCCGGCTCCAGCCGAGAGGGGGTCACGAAGCATGCGGAGTACGTGAAACACGGCAAGATCACGTTCAACACGACCGCCATCCTGCACCACTACCCCCAATACCAGAACGGCCGCGCCGGCAACTGCTCGACACGGAAACCGCGACCAGCGAGCTCCGACCTCAACGCCAACGATCGCGGCTCACCTACGAAGATCGAGGGGACGAAGGTCAGCGTAGAGGTCAAGGACTCCGACAACAACAACGGCTGCGATGGGACCAGCGACGCCGTCTCTGAGGAAATCTCAAAGAGACCCGTGAAATTCGCCGAAGAGAAACTCGTATGAGATCCGATGAGATTGCCCCATCCAACTCGCTCGAGTGATAACAGACATATCGCTAAGCTGATAGAAGTTGTTAATTCTCCAATAAAGACTGCAGTAGTAAATGACTTTTTAGAGTTTTTAAATGTTACGCGGACGATTGACTATCGTCTTAGAAGAGTTAATGTTTTAATATTGTCGTTCTATGATACGTCTGATAGATATATAATCGCAGAATCCGTCTCAAATATAAATATATTATAACGTTATTTAGGAAGTAAGGAACAATATATAAGAAGAGTATCGCGTCGATACCTTTTGGTGAGTCAACTCTTTAACTTTTTCACATTAGCTATCATTGCATGTGGCAATCATTTGTTCAGTCGTTCAGTTAAGCTATCGGTTTCGGGATCGAGGGTTGTGGGTTCGATTCCCGAACAAATCCAGTATTTCTGAGATCCACAGGTAATTGTTCCGGATCTGGGTGTTTGACCAAAGAGGATTGACGAGCGAGTTCTATTAACAATATATAGGTAATAGCAGAAGAAAGAAGAAGTTATTGGCTTAACGCTGATGACAAGCAAAGTAAAGTAAAGTAAAGTAACAGCCTATACATGGCCTACTGCTGGGCAAAGGCCTCCTCTATACAGAGGGTATCAGGGCATAGTCCACCACGCGGCCCCACTGCGGATTGGATATATTTTTTTTTTGTTATTATTTCGAAAATATGCAGGTTTCCTCACGATGTTTTCCTTCACCGCGGAGCATGTGATAAGTGAGCACTTAAAGTTAAAAACTTCATTGGTGCCGGCACCGGGGATCGAACTCAGATTGCTCATCATCATCATCATCATTTCAGCCTGTTTGAGTCCACTGCTGAACATAGGCCTCCCCCACAGACTGCCATGAAGTACGATCCTGAGCCACCTGCATCCATCGACTTCCCGCACATTTGCACAGGTTGCTCGAGTATATTGAATTAAAGGCGAGCGCCCGGACATTGAGCTATGACGGCTCTTGATGACAAGCAAAGTTCTAATTAAATAAAAACAGAACCTTGACCGCTCAGAACTTCACTGCAAGTTTGCTAAACATTCAAGCATCGTCGCTTCTGTATAACATAAACAAAGGGTGTCAATTGGTAGTCTCACAAAGTTCCATGAACTTTTACAAATCTGTTCAGTGTTCGTGGAATTGCTCTCGAATGATTACTTAATCTTTCTGTATTACATACACAACTTACAAGTAATCATAATTATACACAGTATATATCAAAGTCAAAATTTCTTTATTCAATATAGGCTTAATTTTGTTAGAGAAGCATTTAACTTCTCTCTATGTCTAATTACATTACATTTAGTATAAATTCAAACGATTTTTTTATGTGAGAAGGTGGCAGTCGAGCTGGCGGTTCACCTGATGTTAAGTGATAACCGCCGCCCATGGACATTTGCAACACCCTTAGGGTTGTAGATGCGTTGTCACCTTAATAAAGTGGGCCCCGGCTACCTCACTCACCAGACGAAACACAGAAGTATAACACTTCCACTTGACGCCGGTCTTCTGAGAGGTCGTGGTACTTACCCGGACGGACCTGCCCATTCGTGCAACAGCGAAGACTGTTGTGGCCCTACCACAGTTATGACATCAAGGAACCTCAAAATCAATTACAAAATGTGTAGTGACTGAAATATTTGAACTCGACTTTGTTTTGTCACTAAAAATATACTTGCTATTTATTGTGCGGCTTACTACCGTCGACTGAAGGTCATCTCGCGAACTCGGCATAAACCGTCCTATGGCGGGATACGCCGATAAAGGCCACGTCCTGGTTTATTTATAACACAATGCAGTTATCAAGGTCGCACATAGTGTTATCAGTGAACGGATTCCTGTGGGGGATGTCGGATGTATTTCGCAAAGCTTTGTTACGGCGACGCAGTGCGGTTGTCCCGAAACAACTCGCTTGATTGGGATATCGTCCCTCTATCCCTGTTGCGTATTCGTAACCGCTCTTAAATAAGTCAAAATAGTTTGTTCCTCGAAATAAGAAACATAAATTTCATTCCCTTAACGGTGGTAGGGCCACGCAGCAGCCTCGTCTGTTGCACGAATGGGCAGGCTCGTCCGGGTAAGTACCACGACCTCACAGAAGACCGGGGTAAAGTGGAAGCATAATACTTTCGCGTTTCGTCTGGTGAGTGAGGTAGCCGGAGCCCAATTTCCTAAAAGGTTGTCAACGCATCTGCAAACCCTCGGGTGTAGCAGATGTCCATGGGTGGCGGTATTCACCTAACATCAGGTGAACCGTCTGCTCGTTTGGCAACGTTTCACATTAAAAAAAAATCTATCGATAGGCACTTTAGGGTTCTAATTACTAAGACTACTGTCAATCAACAAACTGTATGTATCTCCTGAAACGTGGTAGAAAGACAATTGATTTTTTCACTGATGATGTATTTCTGTTCCGCTATAACAAACAATATTAAAAAAACCATAAAACAAATATTTAAGTGGGGCTCCCGTACAGCAGAAATGACTTTTTTTGGCGTTTTTATAGATAATGGTACGGAACCCTTCGTGCGCGAGTCCGACTCGCACTTGGCCGTTTTTTTTGAAGTCGGTCGAAAACTAGAAACATGCCCTTTACCGCAGAACCTATCATGGACTACTGCATTAATTAAGGTCCCTCAACCCCTTAATATATCGTTACGATCTAAATAAATTGGCGTAACATAGGCTTCCGTGTCTTTTTTATTTTATTTTTTTATGCGATGAGGTGAGAAGCGATCTGGCGTTTCACAGTTTAAAACCCGTAAAATATTTTCATTTAACAATATAAAAGAAGTTATTATATTTAAGTTTACAGTTTATTTCAAATTAAAGAAGAATGCGATCCGAATCATTACAATATTCGCTATTTTTTTTTTTTTTTTATGGAACTGTCTAGTAAAGTAGTAAAGTATCAGTACATGTCCCACTGCTGGGCAAAGGCCTCCTCTGTACAGAGGGTATCGGGGCATAGTCCACCACGCGGCCCCGCTGAGGGTTGGCGGACTTCACATATCTTCGAAATATTTTTTTTTGTATTTTTTTCGAAAATATGCAGGTTACCACACGATGTTTTCCTTCACCACTGATCACGTGATAATTCGCTACAAAAACCGAAAATAGCTGTTATATAAATCACAAAGTTTTAGCCCATAAAGGAGAGGATTTTTCACATAAAACTGACACAGAATTTGCTTCTTTTTTTCTTTTCCACGCTGCCATTTTGCCGCGTCCATTGAGCGCTTCCGACAAGTTTCGCGCCACAGACAAAAAAACGCCCGCATCGACGCCCCGGCACAGATTAAAAAGGTTGTTTATAAATTGGGGCATTACTCACCGGCGCGTTGCTCTTGGCTGCATGCCAATTTCCATAGAGCTCGCTTTTACAATCTACACTCGTCTGTTTAGTTCGCAAGTTTGACTACTGCTTAGTTAGTATCCGTACAACTCATATTTCCCTGGTACATAAATAAAATAGATATTTTAGAATACATTTAAAACAACGTTCCCTTGTCGCAAATTAAGCAGCGTTTGTACTGTGTGTACTAGATAACTGATAAACATACTTAAAATTACTTTTCTTTTGTAAATAAATGCATATTATAAATAAATAAACACCCAAGAACTGGAATAACACTGTGTTCATCACACAATATTTTTTCAGTAGTGGGGATCGAACCCACATCCTCTAGTGCAAGAGGCAGGTGCACCACCTGCGCATGGCCTAGTGGCCAATCGGGTCGTCATAGTACATAGATGCATACAACTGCTATACTTTTAATTCACACGGAGATGTGAATTAGCGTCTTACGCATATGTAATTAAGTAGTTAATTTGCGGAGCCTTACTGATAAGTAATTTAGACCGTAAGAGAACTATTTCAAAGTCAGTTACAATAAATTAATGTAGTATTTGGCTATTACAAGTATGACGATCTAATGTCGTGATAGATCATTGTCCGGGCACTCCTTTTTAGGGTTCCGTACCCAAAGCGTAAAATGGGACTAAGGCTCGCTGTCTGTCTGTCCGTCTGTCACCAGGCTGTATCACATGAACCGTGATCGTTAGACAGTTACAAACAAAATAAAAAAATACTTAAGTGGGGCTCCCATACAACAGACATGATTTTTTGTCGTTTTTATAGATAATGGTGCAGGTGGTTTTTTTTATAAAATATACTCGAACAAGTTCAATCCCCGATGCCGGCACTAGTGAAGTATTCAACTTTAACCGCTGACTTATCACGTGCTCAGCGGTGAAGGAAAACACCGTGAGGAAACCTGCATGTTTTCGAAATAATAACAAAAGAATATTTCGAAGGTATGTGAAGTCCGCCAATCCGCAGTGGGGCCGTGTGGTGGACTACTGGCCCTGATAGCCCCTGCATTGAGCAGGCCTTAGCCCGACAATGGCACGTATATAGGCTGTTACTTTTTACGTAAACAGACAGCACATAAAAACCGCAGACCGCTATGCAGGTATTCGAAAATGCCACCCCATTTGGCGGCGCTCCAACCAACGTCTACCGGCGGGGCCACTTTCGGCGTTCCGACGGAATATTAACCGAAATTAAGCGCCTCGCGTTTGTGTACAAGCTACGGCCGCATTTTTGTTCCCCGTTACAAGTTTTTGTATCTTTTTGACACAAACACGGTTAAGTTAGCTGACGCTACCGACTCTCCTCCGAATAATCTCGAAGGCATACTCTTTTAATCATCAATTACATCCAGACGAATAATAAATATCAATGAAAAGCATTTTCATTGAATTCACATTGGTTAGTTTAATATATATTTGCTTATATTATACATGTACAAGAACCCCGTCTTCACAGGTGAAGGCATCCTCCAAAATTAGCTATTTTAGAATTTCGGGTACTTTTGTCCAGTGCGGACTGGCCATTTTTTTAAATTTCATCGTCCCATCCTCCCATGACACAGGCAAACATGCAAAACGAATACTTGATGTTAAATGACACTGCTCGTGAAGTTTCGTAACACTAGAAGAGATAGAAATGTGTTTTTGGTCTTCAAGACGAAAGGTTCTCTCTACTAAGTACCACGACCTCACAGGAGACCGGCGTGAAGTGGAAGTTAGGTAGCCGGGGCTCACTTTATTAAAAGGTGGCAACGTATCTGCAACACTACTGGTGTTGCAAATGTGATTAACATCAGGTGAACCGCCAGCTCGTTAGTCACCTTCTCACATCAAAAAATACTTGAAGGTCCCCTAAGTATCGGTTCGGAAATACCGCAGATGACGGCTGAAATCCCAAGGTGGTCTGAAAATTCCGTGCAAAAAGGCACAGTGGTGGGCTACCAGTTATGAAGACGGGATCGATGGTGTTGGTTGGTTTGTCACATTGAAAGGTGGTGAAACACAGTAGGTATTAATGCGCATGACTCCTCTGAGGACTCTCTAAGCGCCAGCAAAATACAAAGACGTCGTCGCAAGGCTAAAGGTCGACGCTATCGAGGAGCACTTCATGTGACAAACAAAGAATGTTACTATCGCGTGCGTTTAAATTGTGACCTCGTCTGGTCTCTACAGAAATAATACCAAACACATAATACTAATGTTAAATAATATACATGAATCATTCAAACAGAAGCTCTATTGCGGGCCACTATAAGTTACTTAACACGTCTTGTTGTTTTTTCTTTATGTGAGAAGGTGGCAAACGAGCTGGCGGTTCAACTGATGTTAAGTGACAAACGCGACCAATTGTTGTTTGCAACACCCGTTGGGTTGCAGATGCGTTGCCACCTTTTAATAAAATGGCACCCACTGCACTACTCACCAGATGAAACGCAGTAGTATAACACTACCACATCACGCCGGTATTATGTGAGGTTGTGATACTTACCCGGACGGACCTGGCCATTCGTGCAACAGCGAAGACTGTTTCGTAGCCCTACCACAGATAATGTTTGTGTCGATAGTTTGCAATCTTGAAAAAAATCCTCGATCGATTTCTAAAAGGTATCCGATATTAATGTGGGGAAAGCATTCCAGATTTTGCGGAACCCGTTATTTGCTTCCAAATAATGATTTATTTTCTTCTTAATTAAATACGCCTTTATTTCGTCTTTAAAAAACTCAACACACTTCTTCCGTCTTTACACCTAGCTCACACTGGCCATACGTCCTCACTCTCGCTCACTCTATTTGTCTCGCTATTTCTATCAACGTTCCGTTTCTCTGCATTTCACTATTATTCCCACATTGATTATAAATTTGGAGATTTTAAGTTCCCAAGCTCCATAAGGCCATAGGCTCGTAGAACAGATAACCGCTGTTCAGAAAGGTTCTCGAGTGACACCCTCGAACTGGCTATCGCAGTGTAGGATGACGCCCCAGTAGATTGAGTGACGACTTGTGCAAATGTGCGGGAAGTCCGATGGGCGCAGGTGGCTCAAGATCGTACTGCGTGGCAGTCTATGGGGGAGGCCTATGTTCAGCAGTGGACTCCAACGGGCTGAAATGATGATGATGATGAAGTTCTCTAGCAATGCAGGCTATCAACAGTCTCTCCACAAGACCCCGCTAACTTGTACGTTACTCAAATTTCAGGTCGGAAGTCACTCAGATCCTGAGCAGTGCGCTGTGCTTCCACAACTGGCCCAAGTTCGAGAACTGCGTGGAGGTCAGGTTCGGGGTGCCGCTGGAGTACGAGGATGAAGAGGAGCCAAGGCTGAATGTTGAGGACCTAACCACCATGTGGGCTACTTACTTCAACCAGGATCCGTTTGCCGCCCGCCTGAGGAGATTGGGAATCACGGTTGGTTATGCGTCCTGATGTAGGCATGTGTTGACTATTTCTTGTGTGTCTTCTTTATCACGGTGTGTGCTAGACTGCTACATCCTGATGGTAAGTCGCGCAGCGAGCGCTGGTTAACGTTGGATCCCCCGCTACCTTCTGGGTAGACGGTTATGCTATCACGGGGATACCCAATTCTTTCGAAGAAAAAGGGTTTTCTTCAGAGGAGGGCCTCTAATATAAAAAGTTAATGAAAGCTTGTATACTCATGACATGAAGAAAACCACAATGGAAAAGGATGGAAAGACCGATACTGAGGATTATTCAACTCCATTCCGATATGGGAAATGCCCATAATGCAACGTTGGGGAACTAACTGTCAAGTTAACTGACAGTGAAAAAGCGAGAGGAAGTCAAATGAAGTAATTCTTCTTGCTATTTTCTCTTATAACTAGATGTTTATTTAATAGTGTTTTTTATGTGAAAATTTGGCAAGTGACCAGGTGGTCATCCCGGTCTTAAGTAATTACGGCCGCCCATGGACATCTACAGCATCTAAGGAGTTGCAGAGGCATTTCGACCTTTTCAAAAAGTGGGCCCCGGGTACCTCACTCACCGAACGAAAAACAAAACTATTGTACTCTCATTTCACGTTGGTCGTGTTACTTCCTCGGACAAGCCTGCCCATTCTTGCAACAGCAAGGTAGGCTAGCCCTACCGTGATAGAGTAAAAATATCTTCGGTGAATCCTTTATGTTTTTTTGGGAGAAAGTAGCAAGCTGGCTGGTGATGTTAAGTGATAGTTGCCGCCCATTGATATTTGCAACACCCGAAGGTTTACGGATGCGTTGCCACCTTTCAATAAAGTGGGCCCCGGCTAGCTCACTCACCAGACGAAACGCAGACGTACTTCTCTTACTACACTTTCACTTCACGCTTCTCTTCTGTGAGGTCGCGGTACTACCGGATAGACTTGCCCGTTTGTGTAACAGAGAAGATTGTTGCGTGGCCCTACTACAGCTGTGCCTCTTCTGAGTTCTCGTGTATTCCTTGCAGGAGTACCAAGTGCCCAACGACAGGGGCATCATGACCGTGTGGCTGGTGATAGCAGCCGGCGTGGCGATTTCCGTGGCGATGCTGGCCTTCGCACTCTGGCGGTTCAGCTGCTTCGAGGGCTACACGAGGTGAGCGATGATGGCTTGACTCTTTAGCTTGGCTTCTCACTCCTCGAGTGATAGTTTTGTATTAGGGTTCGCTCCACCTGACTCAATCGGACCTCAATAGGTCTGATTGAGTCAGGCGGAACATGATCTCAATAGATCACAGGGTGAGGCTTGGTAAGAATAGAACAGTACGAGGTCTTTTGGCGAACAGAAGAAACAGGTCAGTAGAAAAATTTCGAATGTGTAGACAGTATAATATTTTATGTAGACAGATAGATATACTTCATCAAAATCTGGCAACATTTTTAAAAACTGTTCAGTTCTCTGAAAATATTGGAAAATGAAAAATTGAAAATATAATTATTTTAATATAATACTGCTTCTTTCTTATAAGTAAATTAATAAGTCCTGGTTAATACATATTATTTAACATTACTAAAATAACATTATTAAAATAATATATTCAAATGCTCTTTTGTTAGTTATTGAAATGCAAGTATAGTAATATGTATTGGTATGTTATAATATGTATTTTGTAACCGCGCCAAACAAATAAACTAAATTCAACACTGTACAGCAAAAATATCGACACTTGTGAAGTTGTCGTGTGATTGCATTATGCGTTGCATTGGTGATCGTAGACCTTTTAGTTCGACATTTATTCACATTGAATAATTCATAAAAGTATTTTAGACGGATAGGCAAAATCTTACATGTATCGATATGGCTGAACTATTTAATCTGTGGTCACATCCGATCTGGCCCACTGTCGAACTCTGCCCCCGTGTCCTCAGGATGCCGCCCACGAGCGACTCCGACAGCGTCCACGAGAAGCGCAACCTGGACCTGTACCCGACCCCCCACCAGACGCTGCCGCCCCTTTACGCGGAGAGCGAGTACAAGTGGCCAGACCCCAGGTTCGACGGGTCCACCAGAGGTGAGACCATCGCCAGGCCCGATAGGCCGCGACACCTCTCGCGGACGATTGCGTCTCCGTGCTCCCGTGTCCCCGGCTGATGAGACGGAAACAGGTGCAACGTGGGTTTTTTAGTGGTTACCCGTGTCTGACTGGGACTCCCACACATCCCTCTCCCCCATCTGGTGGCAGGGGATCCATGAAGGATTTTTCCCAACTAAAAAAAAGGCCGACACCTTGACGCGCTTCCGTTCGTCCCAGCAAACCTGTACGTCCCATTGCTGAGACTAAAAGTACTGAGGAATAGGAGTCCTGTAACGGAGGCATTACGGCATAGTTCACCACTTGATCCCACGGCCGATTCTCAGAATGTTTTTCAGAAATATTTTTTTGTTATTAGTCCGAAAATATGCCGGTGAACTCACTATGTTTTCCTTAAAAAGCCAGCACTTACAGTTTCATTTTCTCGCTGGGATTTGAACTTAGGTCGCTCAAGTGTTTTTGAATTAGAAGCAAGCCCCCGGAAAATGAGATATCACGGCCCTTACAAAGTCCATCTAAATAATTCTCCAGAACAAAATCTTACAGGTGCTATGGGCAAGGCTAACATGGAGGTAAATATGCTGTAAGATATTGACTAAAATATAGAGTTGCAAAACTGTCCCTAGTGCACCCCACTGCTGAGTAAGGAGTCTTTCTCTATTCAAAACTATTCTAATTGATTTGATAATGGACCGTGTTTGCACCCCTAGTTCACCAAGAAGCCCATGGTTGGGCTTTAAAAGACACTTTGTTTGCAAACCCGACATACACTTTGTTTAACGACCCGATAGGCGTGGGGAGTAGTGACCCTGCCTCTTGCGCCAGAGGGTGTGACTTCGATCTCCACTACTAGAAAATTTTTGTGTGATGAACATTGTGTTTTTCCAGTGTCTGGTTGTTTATATACGTTATATTTATATTAACGAAGCTATCTTCATCACGAATATCATTCAAATCCCAAGTGTACCCTGGGTGCTTCGAACCCAAATGTGGTATAAGTATCACTGCCTTTTCTACTTCGGAAAGAACCACGAAAGAACAACGGGAGCTGTACTTATCCAAATGAAGTTTAAAATACAGAAGCCATCTCCATTCCAAATTTCACACGAATCCCAAGTGTGCCCTGGGTGTCTTGAATCAAAACATGGGTTAAATGTCACTGCTTTTTCCTATTTCGGAAAGATTCACGACGGAGGATGCCGCGGCATCAAACTAGTACCGCTTGAATATTCCTATTTATTTATTTACGTAAAGAAAAACCTTCAATTTTCCAGTTGACATGGGTGGTTACGCAAACAGGAACTACTTGCGCGACGACCTGTACGATTTGGACTCGGACGATGACGTCAGCGTCGCCAGGAACAGGTGAGCGGTGACGTCATCCATTCTAGAACTTTCGTCTCTCTCCAAAACCTTAGGGGAAACTAAACCTTACGTGGTCTCAAAGCGTGTTGAGATTAATTTCCGCTGATTCTTGATACATGAAACTATGCATAATTATTGATAATTTATGTTTTAAGAATGACCCCGTGTTGAGTATGATAGCGATAATAGACACGGTAATAGGTTCGAGACTAATCGAAATTCATGAATATAAGCGATAAATCTTTAAATATAGTTTCATTTAACAATTTTCTATATTGCTGATAATACAAGAAGCCATTACGAACAGCTGAGTCTTTGTAATACAAGTCTTTTCAGCCGAAAATATATTTGTATCACTATAAAAGTCATTGCTATTAATATCATGGTAACAGGCGAAAAAAAGATAGATACTATACAGCGTGTCGTTACCATCGCGATAATAAATGAACACACATATAGACACAACTTTTTAAAGTTTTATTAAACATTTAAATTCTTTAAACACAATATTTACAGAGTTATAAAATTTTCCAAAACAAAGAATTTTGAACACCCTTACCTATAAAAGCGTGACGTAAAGTTCATTTGTAAAGGTCACAAAGCATATGAATGGGTTGAATGAATTTAAAAGAGACAAAACATACTGTTAGAAGGAGAGGCTTGTAATACGACGCTGTGGCGCGAGTTGTATAGGATGTTACAAATTTTGTTTCTTTTTTACTTAATTAGTTGTTTGAAAAATATTTTTTTTTAATTATAGATTTTGTTTAACGTTAACATTTTTTTATGATTATTGGCAAGTAGCGTTAGGCGTGTGTTCATTTATTGTCGCGATCGTAACGACACGCTGTATATTAGATTTTCGTTCTGTATTTTCTCATTGATATCTTTCTATATAGAATAATTAATTCTATATAAAAAATAAAATATTAATTAAAACACAACATTCTCTCAAGTCAACATGTATTACAAAGACTTAATATAATAATAATAATAATAAAATATCTTTATTCACATAGACGCTTGCGCGTTCTTAAATTTTACAAGAAATTAACACGTTCGTAAGTTACCACCGGTTCGGAAAGCAGTTTCTGTTGAGAAGAAACCGGCAAGAAACTCAACAGTTGCTCTTTTTTAAAAATCAGTTTACAATATAATAGTACAGGTACAATAGTCTTGTTTTAGCCTACGTGAGTATCAACAGTATTAACCCCACACATTGGCGTCGTCAAGATATTCGGCAATAGTACAATAGGCTTTAGCCATAAGTGTACTTCTAATTTTTCGTTTAAATTCATCAAGTGGCAGACTTAACATCGACTGTGGGATTTTAGTATTCATGCGCACACTTTGCCCCATGAACGATCTGTTTACTTTTTGTAGGCGAAATAATGGCGTAGTTAGTTTGTTTATTTCTAGTATTTAGTTTATGTCTGTCACTATTCTTTTGATAATTATTAATATTCTGTTTAACATACAAAATATTACAATAAAATTAAGGAAATTAATAACATATTCTATTCTTTGCCTTTTATGAGCTTTTACTGACGCATATTATTGGCAATTGTAAGCCTTTGCTATATCACCAACGCTTCCGCTTTATTACATTTAATTACAGAGGCTCAGGTTCCGTCTAACTCTGTAATCATCATTACAGGTACACAACTGACGTGTAGCCGCTTGCATTTATTACATTTCCTATTAATTGGTATGCTTTTATTATTCTATATTCGTTTATGCGTTTTTTTTTCTATCGCCGCCTTTTCAAACGTATATTATATGTTCAAATCATTTATAAATAGATATGAAATATTTCCAAAATGCAGCACTATCACATATCAAACATAGTACCCCGCTGTTTAGTCTGTCTTAATGCATTTTCATACTGATTTTACCAAAAGACAAAGTAATGATGATAATTCAAGCGTATAAAATTCATTAAGGATTCACGCATCTCGGCGAACACGCGAAGTTATAACCTGATAATTAAAAACCATTATCAACAACCAATCATCCCTCTCCGCCTTTAAAGATGCCAGAAACAATTTCCTTCTGCTAAATTCAACTCTTAAGGTCTAGGTCGAAATTGGCCAAGACAGACAGACGCAACATTAAAAATGTTTCAACAGTTGTTTTTTTATTTCTTTCCAGCAACAAAAACATTACTCCACGCGACATATTCGTGTGAAGAACCAACCAAAGGGTGACTTTAGACGTAAAGTTTGCAATGAGTAACGAAGTGCACAGTAAACTACAAAGAAACGGGCATTTTGCAGTAAAGTTGATGCAACAAATGTCCTTTAACTTGTCCTTTGTTGCTCATTGTAAGCAATATTTAGCTGTAAGTTTAGATAGCGATATTAATCGTGACTAAATAATTGTTTATGGATCATAGACTTAGAAGAAACACAACAGATGTGCCCGTTGTCCTAAATGTAACAATGTATATAATTCGTGTGTTTCGTGTTATATATATATATATATATATACATTTAAATTTGGAAATGATATTATTTCGTTATAATTATTACTAAAAGTTAAAATTGCGCATATATCTAATATACGGATTGAAGTAATAACAACTGTTTCAAGAGCTTTATCGTATTTTTTTTAAGTTTAATTTATATTAAACTCAATAAGCCTTAGAATTTGAAGCCTATGATATGATATTTCATATTTATAATTCATTTGCTGTTATTGCCAATTAAATTATATAACGGTGAATTAAACTAATTAGAATAAATACATAATATTTAGTACAGCATGAACAAAAAAGGGCACCTGTATACAGATTATAAATAAATCATTCAAGCCAAAATAATTATAGTACATAAAATATCAATTGTTGTGATTTTTATAATATAAAGTCTAACTTGTGTTGTAAATTATTTCTTTATATTTTTATTATTGTTTAGTTTTTTTTGGATATTTTTAGTAAATAAACGTTTCATTTTTATTTTGGTTTTTTTTTCATCCTTGATTTTCAATTGTTTTTTATTAATTGACAAATTACAAAATGATAATATAGGACTTTCTTTCAAGCAAAACTTATTTTTAATTTTTATGATATTTTACGTAATTCAAAACAAGTTGGAAGTACATTCCAGCAACATAGACAGTACTGGGTATCGGTTCTCGCAAAACTCGATCTTAAAGAAATTATAGTGAAAACGGTTGTGAATAAAATTTTAACATAGAAATCGATTTTAAATGCTTATTATATTATTCAGGTTTCTCATTAGTAGTGAGTGCTTGTTCGATACTACAATCCCATTACTTCTGTAATTAATTGTGACCAAAGTGTATGTGATCACCATACTTCTGACGAAGAAAGATCTTTATTATGTGAATTAATGATAAGTCCGTGGCGCAGTTGCCAAAGTGTTGGCTTTGGCGTCGGGGGTCGTGGGTTCGATTCCCACACGGGACAACTATTTGTGTGACCCACAGATAGTTATCTCGCATCTGGGTGTTTGTCAATCTATGTTTGTAAAACGTCCTTACAACACGGGATAGTGTTATCTTAAATGTTCAATGTTTTAAAAAAAATGTATGAGATTTAAAATATGTAGGTGAAATTCTGCCAATAATAAAAAATATCTGACGAGCGATGCCTATGTCAAAAACTACAAAGGAAAATATACATTGTTGGCAGCACTGCTTAGAAATTACATTCGTTCATTCGTGAGTTCAGCCCCAATGACTTATTGATCAGAGTACAATTGACAAAATTAAAAATAGCTCTAGTGTCTATGTGGTTAATAACAAGTGACTTTAAGCAGACGAGTAAGCATCATATTACCCAACACTCCAATAGGTGTTGTATTTGTTTTTGTGTTTTGCGTAGAGGGGGTTGGCTACAAACGACAATTGCGACCTAGAAGATCTATTGTAGTCTCCCCTTCGAAAATAATAAAATAACGTGTTGTAAGGACGTTTTACATGCAAAAAATCTCACGTGGCCTTACGCCAGTGTATGTTGAGATTATAGAATAATTTCCATTATTCGCATTTTCGTAATTTTATTGTGAAATTAATTCGCGAGTGTTGAATTAAACCATTAGCTTCACTGTTTGGGATATTATGATGGAAACACAGCGCCTGAATTTTGCTTTTGCGCCCATAATTTCTATACATTTTTTTAGCCTTAATTATCTCTTGTAAAAGCTTTTTGAATTCAATTTTTTTTTAATTAAATATTAAGTCTATATACTATCGTTTGTACACAACCTTTGTGACAAGTTAGGAGCGAATTTTTAAAATTACAATTTAGATTTTAGTAAAATTGAAATATAAATTCGCTCTTTGTACTTTTTACTTTGATAATTTGTAGTTAATCGTATTCCTCATCTACTTTTAAATTATATCGTACAAATGCTAATTGTTAAAAATTACAAAACTATTTAATGTCCATCTAATCTGTTTAAAATATAAAACAACATTAAGATACATTAATTATTAATTATGTTAGTTAATGTTCACAGAACGGCTAAAAAGATTGTGAGGTATATTAACATAGGAGATAATTATATTTGAATAGTTCCACACAAATCGCTGTTACAGAGAAATTTTATTAAATAAATTTAGTGTATTAGGAATGTAAATTTAGTTCAATAACTTATATATTTACATGTAAAGCCAACAATTGTTACAACTCTGTCGAAATATCTATACTTAAATTTATGGTAAATGTAATGACGGGTGCGTATTGGAATTTAAATAAATTTTTAACGATAGAGAATAATCACTAATGAATTAATCAACAACCAGAACTCTCCGGTCACTTATAGTTTTCGAAAAAAAATTAAATAGTGTAATTTTCACCATCCGCCATTTTGTTGTTGTCAATTCGGTTCCTATTTCTGGTTGGTCATAAAAAAAGTACATGGAGCTTTGCTCGTTTTTTTTTGTTGATAAATCATGTATTTTCGAAATAAAAAAAATAAAGAAAATGATCAGGTATAGATATTTTGGGGCCGCCCGATTACCGACCGAGCTATTATAACATTTTTTTCCACACATTTCATTCCCTGAAAACAGGGACAAAAGGACATTTTCGAAAAAAAAACTTGGCTAGATCGATTTTTCGCCCCCGAATCTACACACATACTAAATTTCATGAATCATTTACATTTCATCGCTGGGGCCGTTTCCGAGATTCCGATTATATATATATACAAGAATTGCTCGTGTAAAGGAAAAGATAACTATTCTAACTCATAACAAAAGTCGAACAATCTATACGAGTATGAAGACGCCCGCTTCCTATATTTATCATGTTGTGTATTGAGTTTTTGAAGTCATGTTAACAAAATGGCGGACTTTCTTAGTGAAAAAAACAAGTTTTCAATATTTTTTTCTCCAAAAGTAAGTGACCGGAGAATTCTGCTTGTGGATTAATTCATTAGTGATTTTTCTCTATCGTTTAACATTTATTTTAATTGCAATACGCGCCTGTCAATCTCCTTTACTTTAACTTTCTAGCTTGTTCATTCATATTATGACTAGAATAGAAATATATTCATCTCCTTACTCTCATTTTTCAAAAATAATTGTGTGATTCGATGTAAATCGGTGGCAAAGGTGTTGACTAAACTGACAGTTATATTATGTAAGTGATTGCGGTTATCACTACATATTATAAAACAAATTCGTCCCGCTGTCTGTTTGTCCCTTTGTGCTTGGATCTTTAAAAGTACACATCTTGATGCGGTTTTTTATACTAGATAAGTGATTCAAGAGGAAGGTTTATATGTAGCCGGGGCGGGTCTCTGGTTTATTAATAAATGTTCTGTTTAAAAATGTTTCTTAAAAAGTGTTACGTAGGTAAGTACTTACCACAAATATGGTACGGAGGTGAAGACCCTTAAGGCCCATTTACACGATGCCATTTTCTTGAACATACAAGAGCAATAATTGAATGCAATCAATTGCGCGCAATAATTGTTTAGACCATTTCTTGTTTAGACCATGCAACTCATTTATTGCTTCAATTTAATTGTATACAACAGGCAAGAAACTGGCACCGTGTAAATGGGCCTTTAGTGTTGTAACAAATGTCTGTGAAATAGTATGTAAATTTTCAACTCCTAATAGCAATCAAGTGCCAGTAATGTACCTAATCGCATAGTTTGAAACTATTTACTCACCAGTCAATTTGTAGATGCCAAATATTAGTCCTATATTCTAATTCTCTCAATAGTTAGATACATTGTTTTCATTTTGAAGATACATAAAATGGTTAAATGATTGAACCATAGTAATAATTTATAGGTTATGTATCATGATGACCTTGACTTAGGATCGAGGTTATAAATAAGTAATGGCTAGTGGCGAAAGTTGGTTAAGACTTATAAGAAAGTGTTGCTTTTGTTTTTGTCACCCTATAACTAAAAATAAGACAAGTACCTCCCGCTCGTTCTGTTACGGAACGCAAACTTGATACCTTTAACCTAGTAGAATTTATTACTTACGTTTATTTTAAGCCACGTTATTGTACCTACAATAAGTATATGTAAAAAAAAGTACTTTATCAGTAATCGATTTTGAATATTGTGCATCAGATACCAACTTACTCGATTGTTCATTCATATCACTCGCTTTTCAACAGGGGGTAGATTTTTAAATAAATGTATTGCTGACCACAAGATTAAGCTATGTGTATATTATTTGAAACTGAAATAAAAAGTAAGTTAATCTGTATGATTGATTTATTAGCGATCTGATTGGCTGCCGGTTGACTATTTGTATCTGTGATTGGTCGATGAGCGGCCGATTGCAGCTGTGATTGATCAAAGAACCAGTACTTGCTCTTAGTGCCAAAAGATTGGCGCGCTTTCGGAAACAGGAAATAATTTAGAAGTTTTGAAGCTGTAAATAAGCGCGTTTTTGTGACGAAAGTGTATTGAATTTAGTGATCAGTCAAGTTTGATTGCAAAAATATTGCAGTGCAAAGCTTTCCACATAGTGAGAAAATGAGAAAGAAAGAGATTTTTTCTTTTGGTTACCTCTCTCTTTACACATTCCTATTCTTATTAAAATTATGAAAAAAATAAAAACGTCATCACTGCCATCCCGCAAATATATTATTACTATCATATTAGGTAGGTACGTATTAAATAGAAAAGAAATTAGTCCCAACTTAAAATTAAAAAAATTTAACTGAAAAAACGATGTTTTAGAAAATAATTGCTAAAAAACTGCTTAAATAATCCTATGCTAGTTTAGTTAATTTTCGTACAAATTGCACAGCAAACTATTTAAATGTAAAAAAAATGTGATTTAATATGACAAGAAATGTAACCTATGCTGCTACAAACTTCATAACTCAACACGCGTCAAAAAGCATGTTATTTATATAGTACTTACGTTATATATTTATATAGATATTATAACGAAGAACACCATTTTATTTAAGTTGTAAATTATATGTTTAATTGTTTTTACAATAAAACTTATTTACAATGTAAGCAATAATTGTTTTTTTTTTTTCTATTGATGCTTCCGCAGCGCACACTACAAAAATTTTCATTAAATATAGAAGCATTTTATTAGGTTTGGGAAAACTCTTTTCGCAAATAGTATGTATGAACTTATAATATACTCTTTGGCCACATACCATTAGTATTTGGCTGGTTTTGGTATTATAAAAAAGTGTAAATTTTAAAAAGATAATTCCAAATTAAAATTAGGAAAATATGTGATTTTCATTTGTTTCTCTTACTGTTAAGTTGAGTAATTCTGATGAAGAAATTCGATACATTTTGAAATTTTACTACTAAAAAGGTAAAAATGCAACGCAAGCCGCGAAAAAAAATTGTGATGTTTACGGACCTAGTGTAGTGTCTGCGAGAGTAGCACAAATTTGGTTTAAGCGATTGCAATCCGGAAATTTTGATGTTTTGAAAGATGCACACAAGACGCCCTGGGCGCTCTGTAAGGGATAAAATGAAAGCCACTTTTGAAAAAGTGGGGCAAGATTGGCGTATCGGTAATTACGATGTAGCTAAAGAACTGCGAATTAACCACAAAACAATTTAGGCGCTTTTAAAAAAAGCTGAGTACCCAAAAAAAGCTCGAAATTAATCAACAGAAGGGGTGTGGTTTTTCATCATGATAACGCTAGACCTCACACATCTTTAGCCACTCAGCAAAAATTAAGAGAGATTGGCTGGGAGGTGTTAATGCATCCGCCGTATAGTCCTGACCTTGCACCTTCAGATTTCCACTTGTTTCGGTCTCTTCAGAATTCTTTAGGCAGTGTCAGGTTAACATCACGAGAGGACTGCCAAAATCACTTGTCGCGGTTTTTTGATCAGAAGCCCCAGAATTTCTATAGCAAAGGGATTATGTACTACAAGATGGCAGAAGGTTAGGTTAGGTTAGGTTAGTTCGATATATATGATATATATATCGAATTAGTTAAATGTAAATAAACTTTATGAAAAAATGTTTTGAACTTTCATATAAAATGCGAAGATACTTTTTCCCCAACCTATTACTTACTCGCGGATTGTCAAAATTCTGTTATTACCTATTCGGAAAAGAAAAGCCTGCGAAGAATTGAAATTTGTTTTTTTTTTGTTTTTAACCATTTCTAAACAATGAAAATATGCTGTAAATTATTCATTTTCACAGTTTGTTATCATTTGTGTCATATGTCTTATGTCTTATCTTATCCTTTAAACGAGCAATTCTTGTATATATATATATATATAATTCTTGTATAATCGGAATCTCGGAAACGGCTCCAGCGATTTTCATGAAATTTAGTATGTGCGTAGATTCGTGAGTGAAAAATCGATCCAGCTAGGTTTCATTTTTAGAAAATGTCCTTTTATCCCTGTTTTCAGGTAATGAAAAATATCATTCTAATATGACAGTAAATTTCGCCCCAAAAAAAAATGTTATAATAGCTCGGTCAGTAATCGAGCGGCCCCAAAACAGACGGCCGCGGTTCGTATCACGATCATTTGCACGCTTATTTTTTTTACTTTTTTTTCTATACCAGATCATTTTCATTTTTTATTTTTTTTATTTCCAAAATAGATATATATAAGCCTTAACAATCCTCCGGTTCCTTTACAAGGTTTTTTGAAAATATCATTCGATAAAAAACATCTTTAAAAATCAAAAATTACGAGCTTGTGGCTACCTTTTGTAGAGAAAAAAAAGGGGTGGAACATGCATCTTATTAAAAAAAATGGCATTACATACAGCCTTTGATTTTATACAAGATTTTAATACACAGTACACGGTCGAAATATGTGGTAAAGAACTCCCATTTAACAATTTGATTATTATATGTATATACAGAATTCCCTTATCAGATCCTTACATATTTTTAGGTAAATTGGACAATTTCTTACATGAAATACAATCCTTACTTCCTTAATAATCCTTGCTAATATTATAAAGGCGAAAGTTTGTACCTATGTATGGATGGATGTTTGTTACTCTGTCACGCAAAAACTACTGAATATATTTTAATGAAACTTTACAATAATATAGCTTATACACCAGAATAAGACATTCGCTATAATTTATATAAATATTTTATGTATGTAATTTATATACATATTTTATGTATCTGTCTTTCTGTCTGAATGTTACGCCTTCAGCCCATTCAGCCCATTCCAGTTAGTTAAGATATAAGTTTAAAATGCATGTAGTAATGGCAAGAGATTTTATTATTCAGCATTTAAAAAGGGAAAATTGCAAATGACTTCTGGATATAACAGTTCCTACTCGTAAAAGGTCATAGATCATATTTTAAGTAATTCCAACAGCTACCGCAAAGGTGTTACCTTTTTTTATACCTTGATACCTTGAGTTATATTGTTCCATTTTAAGTAGGGATCCCTAATTTTTTTGAAAATATATTATAGCCCATATTACTCACTAAAGATGTAGCTTTCTAATGATAAGAGAATTTTTAAAATCGGTCGAGTAGTTTTTGATATAAATTGTAACAAACAGACAAACAAAATGAAATCTTTCCCCTCTATAACGTTAATTAATTAATTTAAATTTAAATATTTTTTGTTTAAATATTTTAGGACACATTTTTACACAACGTTCTCTAGTCCCAAACTAAGCAACGCTTGTATGGGTACTAGATATACATACTTAAACATATTTTTATTTTGTAAATAAATACTTATAATAGATATATAAACAACCAGACTCTAGAAAAACACCATGTTCGTCACACAATATTTAGTAGTGGGGATCGAACCCACACCCTCTGGCGCAGAAGGCACTACCCACTACGCCATTCGGGTCGTCATAATTAAGTGAGAAGATAGGTGACATCCACAAACAAGTAAGTGTAAACAATTTCAAACATTTTGTGAAAGCTACCCCAATCGAAAGGGCCTAATTCATAGTCGAAGAATACATTGAGGACAAGGATGTGTGGAAATGAGTCATGCTCTACACTAACAAGTCCCCTGGCTGTGGCTATACACTTAAGTAACTCTGTAAACTTATATAAATAAAAAAAAAAATAACAAGACCACCGGGTCTTGCCGGTTCTTCTCATGACAGTAGTTTAGTGAACCGTTTGTCGTTCAATAAGAGCTTAAAATAGGCCTATATTGAATAAATAAATTTTTGCCTTTGACTTTGAATCAAAGATTAGTTGTTAGTTGACCGCGGTCTGTCACCGATCGGCAATACTTATAACAATGTGTTAATTGTAAAAATCTCTATATTTTTTATGACTTTGTATTACAAGAGATATAATATGTATGAAGTTTAGGTAACGGAATAATCGTCTCGTGACTTATGCGCCATACATCATATCGTGGTGCCGTTAAGAAAGACTTTTTCAACAAAAGGCATCGACCATTCTAGAAGTTTGTCGTATTCTTCTTTCGTTTCCTGTTTATTCGATATTTCGGGTTGGCCTTTCGTCGTCAATGACACTTTTCTTTCCCCGAGTATGTCAAAACGTTCGTTTTTCGTAAGTGCAGTGGCGTCAGAAAATGCTTTTTCAATAAAAGGCATCGACCATTCTAGAAGTTTGTCGTATTCTTCTTTCGTTTTATTATTAGTCAATTTTTCTGGTTTGGCTATCGCCGTCAGTGACACTCCTCCTTCCCTGTTTACGTCAGAACGTTCGTTTTTCTTAAGTGTAGTGTCGTTAAGAAGTGATTCTTCAAAAATAGAGTTCACTACTTCTAGAAATTTGTCGTATTCCTCTTTCCTTTTATTAAAGAAGACCGGCATCTCCGATATTTGGCTAGCCTCGTTAACATCACCACTTTCTTTTGGTTCGACCGGCATTGCTGCAACAATAAATAAAATTATTACATTCTTGTTGTTGTTTATGCAAAAAATGTAGAAGGAAAGAAATATTTTGGTGATTTTTTTTAAATAACACCGGCTGTTTTTTGACGTAACAAGAAATTTTATTCGATAGAGAAACAGAATTTTTTGGTTGCTTATAATTTCTTGAAAAAAAAAAATTTACAAGTCCATTTTTCCTTGGACGGTGGTAGGGCCACGCAGAAGCCTCGGCTGTTGCACGAATGGGCAGGCCCGTTCGGGTAAGTACCACGACCTCACAGAAGATCAGCGTAAATTGGAAGTATGACAAATACCTTCGCGTTTCGTCTGGTGAGTGAGGTAGCCGGAGCCCAATTTTCAAAAGGTTGTGAACGCATCTGTAACCCTCGGGTGTAGCATATGTCCATGGGCGGCGGTATTCACTTAATATCAGGTGAACCGTCTGCTCGTTTGACAACTTTTCGCATAAAAAAAAATATTAACAAAAAATAAAACCGACTTCAAATATCTCGCTCTGTATTCATTTTATAATTGATTACCAGAGTTTCCCTAAGTATCTCCGGAGCCCAAGATCCAATGCCACAATTAATATGGGACCACATGGGAAGCACCAGCTTTCAAATAAATAAAGAAACATCAAAATCGGTTCAACCACTCTAAAGGTATGAGGTAACAAACATAAAAAATAGTTGAATTGAGAACCTCCTCCCTCCTCTTTTGAAGTCGGTTGAAACTAGTTGTTTTCATTTACCGCCAATTTACTAATTTGACTTCGAAAAATGAATACACAGTACTGCCAATATGATAATTATAGATAGGAATCGGGCGACGTCATACTCGTATCGATTGTTCGATTATTTTTTTTAAAATTTAATGAGTCACAGATCCAACACAGTAAAAACCGACTCGGACAGGTTCGGTTAGGTTTCCTTCGTAGGCCGAGGAGACGGCCCAACACGCACTGGAGGAGTGCCCAGCCTGGCGGGAGCAGCGCCGAGAGCTGACAGCTATCGTGGGGCACGATCTCTCGTTGCCTGACGTGGTTCGCGCTATGGTGGCCAGCGAGAGGTCGTGGAGTACCGTCCTTGCATTCTGCAAGGACATAATCACCCGGAAGGAGGCCGCGGAGAGGGAAATTGAGGCAACTGCCACCCTGAAAATCCGCCGCCGGAGACCAGGGCGCAGGAGGCTGGCCTACGCGCGCAACCTTCCTCCCTGCTAGCAAGGCCCGGGGCGGCAGATTTGGGACTTAGTCTCACTAACTGCTGCCCCGTGGAGGGCTTGAGAGGGGTGCCGTGTTCATTGCACCGACACGGCACCATTTGGCTGGACCGGGTGTCCCTAACACCCGGGCAGAGGAGGCCTGAGAAGGCCACAGTCGCGCCGGGGTTCGCGGATGATTGCGTTCTCGTGTTCCCGTGTCCCCGACAAAGCGATAGCGCAGGTGCAGCGTGGGTTTTTTAGTGGGTACGTGTAACTCCCACATACCCCTGCTGCTTACCCACAAGGCGGCGGGGGATCCATAAAGGATTTTTCCCACGTTAAAAAAAAGGTTGCCTTCGTAGAAGCCTTCGTGGTTATTTTTTTTTATAACCACCCAGAAGTACCCAGTCTATAACAATATAAAAATAAACACGAATTGACAAAAACAAAATGGAGGATTTCTTTAGTGAAAAAAAATATTTTTTTTTCTCGAAAACTATAAGCGACCAGAGAATCTTGTTGATTATTTAATTAGTGACTTTTCTCTACCGAATAAATTTTTTTTTAGGTCGAAAAAGATCCGATGCTAATGGACAATTTTATCTTTCGTGAAGTATATGCCTTGCACTTTTAGTCCTAAGTCTGAAGTATTTTTTCCAACTTTTGATACCAACAGTTTTATTGGTCCCATAACAAACTCGAACCGACGATCGTCCGATAATAATATTCAGGATTTAAATAATATATGATATACTAGCGGACCCAACAGACGTTGCCCGGTGCGCGACTTAAATCCGACAACTTATAAAAACAAAAACAATAATGAATCTAAACCATTCTCGAATCGACCTGAAGACACACAAAGAATTTCATTAAAAATCGGTTCAGCCGTTTAGGAGTTCAGTGAAATACACACGTAAAGAAGAATTATATAATATATAAAGATACATTCATTTCTTAATACATAACTGTAATACTATATGCGCCTATGAGGCGTAACCGTAGTGAACAGCCGTGTAAATAAATACGTATTACATATCAACACCCAGATACTGAAAAAATACTACATTCACCACACAATATTTTTCCAGTTGTGGGGATCGAAGCCATTTTGTTTTGATGAAGTATGTTTTCTCTCCTTTTATAAAACTCGGCAGTTAAAAAAAGAAATAAAGCGCAATAAAGTTTCTAAACTATAATTAAACATTCTAAACTTTGACGCTGATAAGAGGAGAAGTTTTTTGACAGACAGATTATAGCGCGATATTCAATCGTAATGTTTTTACCTTGGAAGCCAATAAGTAGGGACGCAAAAGCGAAGAAAATCCATAATGTAACCATTACTGTTACGCGTATACGAAGTGTCTCATTGGGATAAAGAGACGACACTGACGTGGGAAGTGGTGAAAGATGATTTATTAAGTAGTTCAGAGTTATTTTACTCGACGTTCCGATAAGAAAATTACGCGTATCTTATTCAACATAGTCAACATTTTGTTATAATATAAGCCGTTTTTTGTACACATTTTTAGACAACGTTCTCTTATCCCAAACTAAGCAATGCTTGTAATTAGGATACTAGAAATACATAATCACACTTTTCTTTTGTAAATAAGTACGTATTAGACACATATAAACACACAGACACTGGAGAAACACTATGTTCATCACACAATATCTTTCCAGTAGTGGGGATCGAATCCACACCCTCTGGCGCAAGAGGCAGGCTCACTACTCCCAACGCCAATCGGGTCGTCATTTCAATTTGTTCGTTGATTCAAAATTTCTTCATTCAATGTAGGCTTATTTTAAGCTTATACCTGTCCAGAGCAGAACCTACAAGAAACTGCGAACTGAGATTTTTTACAACAAATAAACGTATCTTTCTTTCTTTCTTAATGTGGTAGGGCCACGCAACACTTTTCACTGTTGCACGAATGTGCAGGTCCGTCCGGGTAAGCGCCACGACCTCACAGAAGAACGGCGAAAAGTAGAAGTGTTACACTTCTGCGTTTCGTCTAGTGAGGGAGGTAGCCGGGGCCCACTTTATAAAAACGACGCGTTCGCAACCGTGCCGCAAATGTCCATGGGCGGCGGTTATCACGTAACATCAGGTGAACCACCAGCTCGTTTGCCACTTTCTCGCGTAATAATAATAATTATAAGGTTCATTTGTTGCAATAGTTGCAAGCCCTATTCATGTTTGCATAGTGAACCCTGCACCAGGTTAGCATCCTGTCTCGCAGGGGTTAAATTTTTGATTAGCTAATCTAGGATCATTTAATTAAGTAAGTTGCAATAAACATAATTATAACAATTGAAGTGTATATGAGTATTTTTGTATATTTATTATAAAAGTGTATTGATATTATTTTGTACTAAACTACGTCTGCGTAGAATAGGCTGAAAATGTAACATTCAGACAGAAAGACAGATATACATAAAAATAAATAAATTATAGCCTATGTGTTATTCTGATGTATAAGCTTTATTATTGTAAAGTTTCATTAGAATCCATTCAGTAGTATTTGCAAATTTTGTCTGAGCCATGTTTTTACTTTAATAAACTCATTTTCCGCTATCTTAAATACCTCTTACCAAGGTTCGCCATAAAACAAAATGGCCGTATCAGCAGCAAATGTGAAGATTTTTCCGTTGTGTGAATTGAGGTTGCAGAGCTCATTAATATAAGTAAGGAAAAGACTTGGACCCAGCACACTGCCCTGGGGAACACCATATGAGATAGTAGCTCCAGAGCTTACATGATTCTCTATTTTTACTTTTTTCTTTCTTTCAGTAAGGAAGCTTGAAAAGAGATCCCGAATTTTGCCACTAATACCGATCGAAAAAAAAGATCTGGAAAGCCAGGTCCGTCCGGGTCATTACCCCGGCCTCAAAGACCGGGCCAAGTGGAGTACTAAACTTTAATCAGAGTGCTAATGCATTTCGTCTGGCGAGTGACGTAACCGGGGCCCACTTTTTTAAAGGTTGTTAGGACATCTAGAACATGATGGGTTGCTCATGAGCGATGAAAAATGCATGTACATGGGCGGCTGATAATAAAGTATGTAGATTATTTAATCATCGGGTGAACCGCCTGCTCGCTTGACTAAATTTCACATAAAAAAACCAGCCATGTGCAAGTCCGACTGGCGCACGGAGGATTCGGTACGATTACCTATAATTCCCATTTTACCCTTTAGGTACTAAAAACCACCGTGTTTTACAAACTTGTAGACATGGACACAAATACGCCTAGACCTGGAACAGGAATTTATTGTTTCACACATACTGTTGTGCCGCGCCCAATTTCACTTGGCGAGGACAACGCACCGACAATTTAGCCGAAGTCGGTATTAATTTTTTATTCGTATCACAACTCACAAGTAAAGGTTATCGTAAAATGAGTTATCGAATAACCTATCGCCAATTCAAATCACCCAACTCAGTTGTTTACAAGCTGTCTGAATTGTACTGGTTTTCCCTAGAACAGAACCCCAACTTATAATTTATATTTACCTCAAACGATGACTCGGTGGCGCCGTTGCTAAGCTGTTGGTTTCGGGGGTTGTGGGTTCGATTCCCACACGGGACAAGTTTATTTGTGTGATTACCCACAGATAATTGTTTCGGAGCTGAATCTATTTCTGAATTATAATCCCTGTGTCAACACTTAACATCAGGTGAAACGCCAGCTCGTTTGTCAACTTCTTACATGAAAAAAAAAAGTTTTTTTTATAAATACGGAATTTCATTCCATCATCAAACTTTCTTAACGCTCAATTCAATTTAGAGGTCATAATTATTTTGTCGCATATTCGTGGGGGAGGGCTATGTTCAGCAGTGGACTCAAACAGGCCGAAATGATGATGATATTTGTGCATCGGTGATGGCTGTTGCGGTTTTATTTCCATGCTCAAGGCAGGGCACCGACAAGATGGGCTGACGTAGTGAAGAACGCGGTGGGCGGCAGCATGCGACGGGCGATTCACACCGCCTACGACCGCACGCAGTGGAGGAGAACATCATGTGGTCACGATCCTCAGCATTGAGGGACCGAGCAAGAGAGAAGAGAGATGGCTGTTGCGTGGCTCTTCCGCAGTGCGCCGCCTATATATATATATATACCGGTATATACCGAACCTGATGGGTTTTACATGCGTTGCATCTGTTATCTGTATTCTTTAAAAAAAGTATGCCTCGATAGCCAGACGCCTATAAGCCAGCCTCACTAACCAATTTCTCCATTTTGAGCCGGTCTTCTGGCTGGTGCTTGGCCCTATTACAGTAAAACACTAAATAAAAGGGGAGGCAATGATTTAAAAAAAAAAATCATTGCCTTAGCATAACATTATCCCGTGTTTGTAAGGACGTTTTACAAACTTAAATTTCACATGGAAAAACACCCAGATGCAAAACATCTATCCGAAGACGAGACGTCAGAAGCCAATACTTTGGCAACAACGCCACCGAGACGTCACATGAATAACGTATGTGGATGGTGACCACAATCTTGACCATTTATCGAAACAACACATTTACTACAACAACTCTTTGTTGTAGTAAATGTGTTGTTAATGCAAAGAGTCCTAGCAATGTATGAATTCGAAAGCCTACTGGAGTACTGGAACTGGATCTTTATGCTTCGAACGCCCGGTTTCTGAAACACTGATCATCTTAGTAATTAACTAATACGCTGTCGAACCGCTTTTCAAATATGATTTGAGTTGCCAAAAGGATGGCTAAATTCAAACGTAATCAGAATGATCTTAATAGTTCCGCAAAATGGAACGCCCAAAAATATATAAATGATTTAACATTAAAGTAGGGATGAGGCGTATATACTGGAACAGGTATAAATACCCAGTATGAACATACCAGTACGCACACCGGGTATGTACGGCAGGGGCCCGTTCCATACCCGATAGGTATGGCCGCCTCGTCGGACGGTGGCGGTATATAACGCTCGCGACAACCCGCCGGCCGAATAGGTACGAAGTTCCCCGAACGCTTACGGCGGCTCTTCCCGATCATGCCCGAATTGAAACGTATGATTTAGGCATTTTGTTCCAAATAATTCCTCGAGATAAATTTATTCTTTATTTCTATGACCATAAGTTAAATAAATAATTGCGTTATAAGGTTAAACAGTAATATTTATTTTGAATTACTTTTTTTTTGATAATAGGGTTCTTTACGTTAGTAAAGATGGAGCTTATTTTAGTCTGATTAAATCTCAATTTAAAAAAAGTGATTGCTAAAAAAACATCTAAATGATCCAATTCCAACCAAAGAAAGGTTCAATTCCATACCGGGTCTCCAAATGGAGGCCTGAACATAACTAATACCTATAGGTATTTTGATACTGGGTTTTAGCACCGGGTATACGGCGATACCCGTACTTTTGAGGCCGGGTATAGAATGTTGCAGGTATATCTCATGCCTACATTAAAGTTAAGTTTATATTATACAGATAAATACATTGACTGCCTGGGTGTGTAGAAGGCGAAGATCGAAACGTTGTTGCGATATATTCCAGCACAGCGCCATCTAGTCTCCCCTCGCCTACACTAAGAGTGGAAATATGTTTCACTATGAAGCTGTGAAAATTTCTACCGTCCAACTGGTGACAGACGGACATACAGCGGAGTCTTAGTAATAGGGTCCCGTTTTACCCTATGGGTACGCAACACTAAAAAGTACCAAAAAGTGAGTAATGAAGTTATTCCAGGGTAGCGTAGATGGCTTTCTCTGGACTGGTCCATACCAGGAGCCCATGGCCATTGTAGCGTTGAAAAAAGTTTTGAAACGAGCCCCAACACAAATTATTCTTTTGTAAAACGTCCTTACGATACGTAAGGGCAATATTTTTCGAAAAAAAAAAATCCCATTACTGGCTTACTTGTAATTGATGATTAGACAATTGACTGCCTGCAAAGTTTACTTATTACAAAGTTTTTTTGTATTTGTGTGCTATTAGTCGTGTAGTAAATCCTTACTTAGCCCAACTTCATTCCTTCCATAGCAAAGGTTATGCACGGATTAGAATGTTTATTGCTAACAATTAGGTTCACGTTTTTAACAATTAGGTTAAACAATTAGGAGTACGGACATTCAAAAGTTCAGTATTTTTTTTGTAAAAATCATTTTGCTTGTATCTCCATGAGCTGTAAAAGCTCAGTGCCAGGGTGCTCGCCTTTAATTCAATGTAATTTCATGACTTATCACGTGTTTATGTGGTGAGGGAAAACATCGTGAGGAAACCTGTAGATTTTCCAAATAATAACAAAAAAAATATTTTGCAGATATGGGAATCCCGCCAACACTCTACACAGTCATTT